TACTAATAATATAACTAATAATAACTAATAATAAACTTAATAATAAAACTAATACTACAACTCATTCTATAACAATACCCCCTATTTCCTATAATTACTATAACCAAATATTCTAAATATTAGCTAGCTAGGGTAGGTTGGAGGAGACCTAAGATATATATCATAGCATTAGATTATACAATTTGTAGGAGAGAATCCTTGTAAAAACCATTTTTCTATAAATAATATAAGATCTATTTGTGAAGAATTTGTTGAACTATATAAAATTTTAATTTATTTTTGTTAAAAATAAATAAAATAACTAATAAATATTGTATATTTTTAAAATATTTTTGAACCAAAAATTATACAAAATTTTACAAGTAACCTAATTTTAAACATAAATTTTTTAGAAAGTTAAAAATTTCTGTAAATATTTGTTTAAATTATATAAAATTTTTAAAATGTATATACTGTATTAATATTATAAACAACTTTACTTAATAGCTAACTTAGTAAAATTTTAACTGTTATATATATAAATAATTTATAATTTCTTTATAATTTTTGTAAAAAAACAAAGTAATAACTTATTTTTGAAGTAGCTTATTTTCAGAAATATACAGTAAATTAAATACTGTAAATAGTAAAATAAAGAATATAACTAGCTATATCTGCAACTTTTGGTTTTTTAATAAAATTTTTTTAAAGCTTAGTTTTTATTTGTAAAATTTTGTAATCAAGCGGTTAATATAAGAAGTTAAAATTTTTAGATTAAATGGCTTTTAGTTGTTATTACCAAATTATTTATAATTAAAGTTTAAAAAAATTAATATAAATGATTTTTGCCATTTTCTATATGCAAAAACTGTACAATACTACAATATATTTGCAAACAAATAAAATTATCTTTTATTTTAATTTTATTATAAACAATAGAAAGTACTATTTGCTATCTAATTTTTTGATTTTGAAGTACAAAATAAAACAAAATTGATATATTATTAAAAAATATAGATGTATTAATCATTTTAATATTTTTATTAATACATAATTTTAGTTCATTAAACAGATTCTTTCTTAAATTAACTGTGCCTTTACTGTTATCACCGTACGAAATATAAAATGATAATATACTGCACATTTCAATGTTATATTTCATATCACTACCTTTTAATTATACTTTTAATTTTCGATGGGTACAATTTATTATCTAAAAGATTAAAAAAAAAAAAAACCGTTGGTTTAACAAAATATTTGTAAATAAATTATTCCGCCGATTATTTATATTTAATCAATAATTTCAATTAGCCCTAAATTCATAATAAAAATAATCAATATAATCTATAAACTCAAAGAAATAAAAAATACATTCTTGATACATAAAATTACAAAATCTATTATAATTGATAAATAAAATGGGGTTTTTTTTTCAGTTTAAACACTAAATAAACGGAATTTATCTAAATTGTTACATTCGCCAATAGTGGTTCAAGTAGTGTACAAATTTCATTAGTTACAACTTCATTCGTTGTACGAACAGTCAATCGATACATCTGAGCGTGACAAAAATCATAAATTAGATAAATGAGTTAACCATAAAATTGTAATTTACGTATCAATAGTACGTACCTGAGCTTCAATATTAGGTTCTAATCTCAGAAGACAACCAAACATTCCACCTCCAGATGTATGTAAAACGCTAGCACCAACAAGGTTTGTAGGATTTGGATCTACTTCTTCTAATACCTCAAATTTAAAACCTAAAATTAAAGTTCGCACTCCTGAAAGATTTATTGGAACATTTGAATTAAAAACGACTTGTTTTTCTCGGGGGCCAGCACCAATTTGTTTCCATCTCGCAAAGAACTCTGCTCCATTCAATTGAATAGGCTCATTAAACTTTGACAACACTATAGGTAATGTTAATACAATTGTACGAAGCGTCCCTGAGACAAAGGATACTCGCACTTTTGGCATGCCAGTGAATATATTCTTACACTCTATATGAAACAGTTGTTGGATTTGATTGGATTGCGTGATAATTGATGGTGGTGGTTGTGGAGTAGTAATTGTTAAATCAGAGATATTCTCAATGGAGGTGGTTAAAGAAGTAATGTTTGTCTGTGTTTTATTGATAAAGTACAGTGCAACCCGACCAAGGTTACCATGGTATTCTGATTTAATACCAATCATAATCTGGGTGTTCTCATATAGTACACCTTCAGTTGTAAATAGCAGTCGATCAGGAACTTTTTCTGAACCAGATGTTACAGACCCTGAGTTTGTTGTAGTCGTCAATTGGTCTCCATTACTAATTTTAAGTCCTTCAAAACTAACAAGGTCTATCTCATTATTGCCATTCGTTTCATGCTTTACTTTATTATCCATAGAGTTATTTCTACTTGTTAAAGTCAATCGAGCCACATCTCGTTCTTTATTAGCATCTTTGCCACCGATAATCCATGTTCGTTTATCTTCAGTATCCGTGTGCTGTTGGTGCAACCTCGATAGTAACGCAGATTCACGTTCAGGGAATGGTGGCATCTCTTCACAAATTGACTGCAAGAGATCATCATTCGGCATAGTTGAGATAGCTAAATATTCGGCAGCACGTTGTTGGAGTTCAGAATCTAACACATGGCGATACCGATAGAAAACTGACAAAATTTCCCCTTTAATCTCGGGAAAAAGATTGATAAACTTAAAGTAAGTGGTTAAAAGTAACGCTCGTGTTTGAAGTGTACATAAACCGAATTTTGAATGAATAGCACGAAATTGTTCTTGAGGACTTGCTTCTGGCATATTAGCGATAAGGTGACCGAATTCACCAAGAATATAACCACCCACTTTTACTAAGTTTTCATGACATGCAGGAGACTTCAGATGAGTAAATACAGTTCTCGCAGCATACTCTTGAAGTTCTTCATTATTAGTAACAATCTGTACTACGCGATACCACACTTCTTCGCCAACATGATCACCGGCAGTACTAATTAATTGTAAAATTATATCAACGTACCATTGATATTCAGTGGCGAATTTCTCAGTTAAAATTGCAATCTTAAGAACCATTTCCTCACGTAAAGCATAATCCGCAATATTAAGATACCGCAATAATTCAGCAACAATGACCTTAGCATTAGTAACGTCACACATACTATATAAAAGATCAAGTCCTCGACGTCGTACACTGATATCCTTATCTCGCAATGATAATAAAATAGTATCTTGATGCTTTTTAATTGGTTCTAATGAATCCACACAAGCAGCTAAATGTGCCATGGTCTCTAAGCCCAAATATCTTACGTTAGTTTCTTTTGATATTATAAATCTTCCGAGAAGAACGGCAGCCTGGTTGACAATTTGCGATTCAGTATCTAAATGAATTGCAAGATTAATGGCTTCAAATAACACAGCATTTTGAGCATTGTTATGCTGAACATTTTTTTGAGCTTCTTGAGAATTGTTGATTATTGTCTGGAGTATAACGTGTAGTTTACTTTGGATTTCACGATCATCTGAAGAATAAATTCTTATTAGCCAGAATCGAGTAGAAATATATATATATATAAATAAAAAACATACAATTTATTATTTAAATGTCCTACCAGAGGGCGGATAATACTGCAATAATCGAAGCAGTTTAACTTGTAACCAAGGAATAGGAACTTTATAATATACGTAGTCCGGTGGATATTCTTTGTCAACTATGATCTATAAATTAGAAATGAATGACAATAAGTAAATGATAAATATAAGAACATTATTATTATTATTTTTTTTTTTATTCTTCAAATGAATAAAACCTTTGATAATCGGTTAACAGCCTTAGCGTAACAACCCAAGTATGCATCTAGATTATCTTGCGCCAATGCCATTATTAAGCTCGTTACACACAATGTAACACCCTGTAAAATTTCAATAGGAAAAAGATAATGAATTACGCAGTTTTAAATAAATTTATATAATTATTATAATCATATATAGTTGACATACCAAGTCAGGTTGATCCATTAGCATGATAATCCTACTCGCCCAATCATTCGCGGGAATTACGTCAGGATGTTTTCTGTACAAACGTAAAAGAGTCAGGGCAGCTTTTTTCTTGACAAAACTTTTAGAATTGCTATAAACATAAAAAAAAAAAAAAAAAAGTATATAGTTTTAAATAGAATGAGTAAGAGGTTGATGTTTGACATTAATTAAAATTAAAGTTAATTAAATTAAAATTATTTACGGAGATATTAAAAGGCGATGAACATCTGATGATAATGATTCAGCCATTTCTCTACCTCCAATGTTTGCAATTGCATGTAAAGCGAGGCAGTTATAGATCTCATTAAGTTCATCAAGATCTTTTCGTATTGAATTGATAACCAAACGAGTAAGATCACTGTTTTCATGCATTAAAAGAGTTACGGCCAAGTAACCCTATATAAATAAGGACAAATAAATGAGTGTTAAATGAAAATGTAAAATAAAACAATAGAAAGGCAATTTAAGACTGACAATTTGTTTTTCACTATATTTATTACTGGAAATTAGATTCACCGCCTCCATATGACCAAAATCGATATCCCACCCAAGTATATACATATATAAAAGTTTGCAAACATATTTTTTCTTTTGATAACCATTGAGATTGCCGTCTACAAATGATTTTTTAGTGAATATTTTGCCTTTTAATTAGACGTTAAAAATTTCTGTTGCACAAATGGAAAGTATAGACATGCCTTTGAATTTTGAACGGATATTAGCCATCTCCTTATTGATTCGTTTTTCTTCTAATTCTCTCACTCTACCTAAAATTTATAGAAAGTATAGAAAGTAATTAAAGATAATGTGCGAAGCTATATTTGATTGATTACACTGTCAAGACAGGATACAATTCCTAATATCCGCGATAAACACGGTCAAGCCTCGCATACTACTTGACATGATTGCAGATTTGTGATCTATAATATATAGAGCTAAAAGAGTATGACTCTAAACGTTTGGAGTGGTTTAAAGGTGTACTTGTTATAAACGTTTAAAATGGGTTAAAGTATATTCTTGTTGTAAACCTTTGGAAACTTAAACAGTATATTTGATTTGACACAAAAATTAATATGTATAATGATCAGCATACCTTATTAGTCCAAAGTTAATTTCTGACCCAGTAATCCGGCTTTTAATTTTTAACCCGAAAAAAATTTTCATAGGATGAAATAGATTAAATAGATTGCATTAGTAAAACGTAGTTATAAAACTGCTCTCCGATTGGTCACAAGCCGATGCATTAGTTATATGGAACTAGCCAAAATGTCCATTATACATAATATCAATATGCTTTTTTACTATTGAACCCGTTATACGTAACTCGATGTTTTGTTTGACTTATAAACTTATAATTATAAATGGAATAATGAGCTTATAGCGACCCCAATTGGTCCAATTACAATTCAATTTGCTGTCTATCGTTATTGAAGTATTTTAATTTATACTTACCATACAAATTCAAATGGCAAAGTCCCGATCCCAAATTCTAAACCCCAGCCCAAGTATAGAAACTCGAAAGTTCAAACTCCCCAATTCAACACAATTTCACCATCTAATCTAATTTCACCAGCATCTTTAGTTCAAACACAATTTTACTGATAGTTGGCACAGTAAAATTACTGATCAATAAAATTTGTATATTTGTTCATGTAACATCTATCCTTAAGGTTTTGGATTTGAGACTTTAAAAACTAACGTACCAAATAATTTTAACTTTGTACGGCAAGTATTGTATAGTCTTTTAAAACGCATATAGCAAATAGCTTAAACTTTTTTCATTTGATGCGTAATTTAAATTATCAAACTGTCAGCAATATTGGTAATTTATTATCAAATTTTAATCAGTGAATTAAAATGATTGATTATTCATTTTACTTTAATTAATTGTAAAGAAAAGCACAAAATTCCGAAAGATTCATCTAAACATAGCGCTTCTTTTTTTAATTGGTTGGGTAAAACTCTTCGTAAGAACTATATCTAAAAGGTTACGCTTGACTTTTTGCAAAAGTGCTAATAGAATTTTTGTCCGTACTTATTGGATAAAAAATTTTAAAATTTATATACGTATTTAATTAGTCGATTTTTTAATGAGTTGAATCATCGATGATTTTAATTAATATCGATATATATTTTCATTTGTGTAGTACAATTCTATCCCTTAAACTGTCAGTTTAACTACAATCCAATATAATTTGATAGCTTAATCATAGACCAATCTGCCTGGAAACAGTTTAAGGGATGGTCTACTAACATAAATTCGATTATTTAGTTGATTTACCACCTTAATTTTGTGCGTAATTTTTAAATTATAACAATAATGATAATATGTAGTTAATATGGGATCTTTGCTATTAAAATGACCCCCGAAGCATTGTTACACGAGATTTTTATTAAGAAAACCATAGTAAATCTATTTTTAGAAAAAAAAATTCATACGTAGCAAAGATTCCATATAAACTAGATCTGCCTCAAAGGACTCAGTTTGGAAGGCGGAAATTCTAAAGAAGACAAAACACACCTCTTCTCATCCTTCTTGTTGGTGCATCAAAAGAGTGATGCGAAGAAAAACATATCTGGACGGAGATAGCTGTTTGCTTGTAGAAACATAACAGCATATCTCTGAAATTACTGGTGGCATAATGAACTTGGACATTAACATTTACTCAAAGAAACACTCAAGAGACTCGAGTAAGCAAAATCGCTGTAGGGAATGCGGAAGCCAACCAGCGAAATCGTATAGGGAATATTATTTCTATATTCCTATGTAACGACAAAGATCCAATCACATTAAATCGTCACATTAAATCGTCACATGGAATAGCTATCAACATGTGACATATTACTGCATTAGAGATACAAGATTAGTGTAACATGACAATCAAAAACTTTTATTAAAAAAAGACGCGACTACAATACTTCCACTTCAACATTCCTAAGACCGTACCGCAACAGGAGTGCTTGTTAAAACAAGTGCTTTATTTTAGAAATGATTTCTTTTATTTATTTATCTATTATTATATATTATCTTGCTCTTGCTCATTCTTGCTCCCATTCATTCTTGCTTGCTGAGTAGTAACTTTAATTATAGTAGAGACAGAAGATCTGCCAGACTTGCTGGGGAAAAACCAGTATATTTTTTTTAATTATATTATATATATATTTTTTTTTTTTTTTAGGTTTAAAGACCCAAAAGCATGTGTTTTTATTTAAGTTTTTTTTATTTCTTCTGTTTAAGATCTACTAGTTCTGTAGAAGAAGAAACTGATTAGGTACCCTTCTTAAGCTATCAAAAAACTGAGGCAGAAATATGATAAAGAGCACTTCAGTGGTCATTATTTCAAAATTTTCTTGATGTAATAATAAAAAGATGTGTCAGAGTTTCTTTATGAAAATGTAAAGTATTAAGAATTCAAGGTGGAACAACCTACTTTCAGCAGAGGAAAGATGGGTTGTGAATTTTTTTTATTTAATAAGTCATTACCTTCCCAACTAAGAAATACACTTCTACATGATAGTTGGGACGAGTAGGAGGAATAATTTCTAAAACTAAGGATCTTAAATGTTTATTAACTATTTGTTTAAGATTTAGATTAACTTTCTATTTTTAAATTTTCTCATATTTATTAAATTTAATAAAGTAAATTAAGTTTTTATGTGACTTAAAATAAAATAAAAACAAGTTTTATAAACAATTGTATCTTTATATGTTGCCAAGCATTGTTACTGTTCAATACTAAATTTGTCTACAATAATATGAATATAAAGTATATGTTTACTTTCTTTTGACTTTAACAAGTAAATAATAATTTATAATTTATTAAAACTTCGAATCTTTAAGAAATTAGCTATGCACAATTAACTTTCTCTAATCTGTATCTTGATAAATTAAATGCTTATAACTCTGTAAAAACTTAAGACAAGCTTTATAAGTTCAGTTTAGAGATACTGTAAACTTTTTAAACTGAACCTTTTACATATAGGTCTAGAGAGTTTGGTATAAGCAGGGTTGACTATAACATGTTTATAAGAATTCTGAAGTTATGAGTTAAAAAAGAAACAAAATTTTGATGGTAATATTACTGTTAATGAATGAATTTTTTTTTAATATAAGACCTCCAGTATTGCTAACTTAAAACATTTCTCTAAAAAAATTTTAGCTATTAAGTTATAATTATATTTTCGCTATTACAGTATTAAATTAGGGTTTGCTATATCAATATCAAATTTCTTAAAAATATTATTACATTTTGTTATATTGTTTAAAAACATTAAAATATTATTTCAATAAAAACTTTAAATATATTTTTCAATGTTTTTACTAAGTAGAGATTTCTTATTTTTATAACTAAAAATTGTAAAGATAGCTTTCTGATCCCAGAATAGTGCAAAAAATAAATGTTTAATTTCTAGTCGTGTATTTTACACCTACATTTCATATTCGAACCTCTTAATATATAAATTTTATTTAAAATGTATACCTTGGTGGGCAGTTTACAATATTTAAAGTCATTTCAAAAGCATTTTTAAAATTGAATTGATACTGAGTACTATTTACAAGCCAGCGATTTCATTAAAAGGGATACTTTATGTGGTAAAATATTATCAATAGATACTTTATGCTGTGCTAAATGAAAAATAAAAGTTTTAATTTAAATTCTAAGAATTGTGAAAATAAATAAATGTGTTTGAAATAAAATGATTTATTTATGAGTATAATTTTCTGATTAGTTGATATAATTTTGTTTCTGCCACGTCTTAGTGTTGTTGTGAAATTAAATATAGTATAGCTTACCTTTTAATAAAATCTTTTTTTTTTGATTTTAAGGTGACCTATTTGCCATACTGCTCTTTATTTGAATATTAGTAGTATTTTTAACCGTTAAACATATCCCGACGGCTGTACATATTTGTTGAGTACAACTAGTCATATCTGTGCCTTTTGAGCACCTATTTAAGTAGTCTGCCTATTACTAGGTTCTATACTAGATGCTGTACCTGCACCTCCCTTTAATAAAATCTTTAAATTAATTCTATATATTATAATATAATCTTTTAAATTAGTTTTTTTTTTTTTTTTATTAACTAGCCTCTTTGACATAGGGGTTTTTATTCAAGCATAATAGGCAAGAAGCTCATAATGAAATCCCAATTATATTAGAGAGTACAACTAGCCACACGTGTACCTTTTAAGCACCTATTTAAGTGAATCCACCAGGGCAACCATGAGTTTTTCAGGTCACATAATGATTAGCACAAATTTAGCCAATGAGAAATCAAAATTTAGTGCAACATAACACGATCAGGAAAATTCAAAACAAATGTTCATTTTGACAAAAAACCGCCTTATCTCAAGAATTCACATAAAAAACCGCCCTTTATATTCTAATAAAAAATTTTCCTTGACTAATTTTACTATACGTTTTTAATTTATAAACTCTAAATCTAACACTAACTTTAATCTTAACAAATTTAAGAAATTCGGATTTGTTTTGTCCATCATCACGTGATCCGAAAAACTTGTGGTCGCCCTGGCAGATTTTATTTAAGTAGTCTACATATAGATAACTGTACACCATAGGTTCTACACTAGTTGCCATACCTATAACCCAACTAGGAGATTACCTATTTAAACCCTCTGTAATGTACACTGCCCCTTTGTATCACCAGAACACTCTGTTATATTCATTAGTCAAGAGTTCTGATGCGTACCATAGCCTTAGAACTAATTTATCCTCGAGGCATTATTGCTAAAGCTTTCTGTACCCACAATCTGGCTAACCTAGACTTTTGGTAACTTATGCCAAGTTTGAGAATGAGTATTTGCGAGCTGAAGCCACTACCATTACCTACTACTGCTCTTGTAGAGTTCACCCAAACCCCAGCACCCACTTTACGGACCATCTACCATTTTACTAGTCCCTAAACTCTCAATCCAGATAGCTCAGAAGGGTAGACCCCTTCCTTGAAATATACTGACAGCCTGGTTTGTATGGTGCCTTGCCAAACATCTCGGTCCTGTCCAGTTTCTGAATCTTCGGTGATAATCCTTTACGTAGTGCCATCAAAGATCTGTGCTATCTCTCTATTTGGGACTTGCCAAGCGGGCTTCTGTGTGCACCAATATCTGGATTTATACAGCCATTTCACCTGGTTCGTATAACTCATACATTATACTACAGTTCTGCAGCTTTCTAATAACACCTAGTACAACCAAGTTTACAGATTCGCTGATCTATCAGATTATACACAGTCTGCCATAACATATTCTGTAAATTCAAATTTTATTGCTAGTGAGATTCGAACTCTTGTCCTGCCGCTTGGGGTGTGACAACTTGACCACTTCACTAAGTTGCCACACCCTTTTAAATTAGTTTTTTTAATATTGATTAAAATATTAATTATAATATAAATACAATAAAATAACTATAAAATTAGTAAATTAAAAATAGTTTTTTAAAAGGATAACCTATACTATATTTGATCCATTGTTGCATCACCTCACTTCTTCTACTTCTATCTAATATTGTTACTACTCCCTAATGTTAATATTTTGCTTCTACTTCTCTCATCACACCTAATAATTCTTGAATTAGAAAAATGCCTGTTATATCTAATAAAATATTTATTATATATTTTTTTTGGTATAGTGTAGCAGTGATCTATATATTTATGGTTTGAAACAAATAGTACTCTGCTTGTAATTTGCTTTTTTACAATTAATTGTTAATTTGTTAAAATAGAAACAGTAACAATACCGGCTCTAACTATATCAGAATTCTGGATATATTTTTAAAGTTTGGATAAGTATAGTAAAAGGCTAACAAAACATAAAAACAAACTAACTAAATTAAAAGTGAAATTTATTTATTGGGAGAAAAAAAGAAAAAAAATTGTTATATTAAGAGTTGAGTTATTTTTTCACTTAAATTTGTTATTTTTTTTATATATAGTATTACAAAACTTCTAATTCTCTTTTCTGAAACAGTGAGATATAAATAATATCTACAATACTAATTGGGGTGCAATTTTAAATAATCTCAAATTGTAATTTCTAGTGTACCTATATATCATCAATAAGACTATCTGTACTTATATCTTGAATAAATTTGTCCTTAATTTACAGTATGATCATCTCAGAAAAAATTGAATATGCCTTTATACTTGATGAATTCGAGTAAAAAACAACTTAAATAAATAAGATTAATATTAATGAAAGTGTTGGTATCTAAAGTTGAAATGATCTATAAAAATCAAAATTACTAATATTATATATATATATATATAACATATAATAATAATATATAATTTTAACAAATACATAGAATACTTAATTATAAGTCTAGTTGGCACTGATATAATAATACTAAACCATTAATCTTAATTCTGTAAATTTTTGATCTAATAAAATTTCTGATGCGACATAAGATATGATCTAAGATGTTAGATTGCTTACTTTTGTTAATGTTATTGTCATGCTTGATGTTGTAACTTGCATCATACCTTTCTAAACTTGCTAACTAATGCATGCAAAATGATCTAATTTCAGGGCTAATTTCAGTCAGCACAACTTCAAGCGTTTGAAATTGCAACGCCAACTTTAAACACAACATTATCATCTTGCAAAATATTTTTATTTGTGAAAGTTTGCATTCATATATGAGCGCTTTTCAATAGAAAAGTGTGAAAAGTTTTTAATAACTTTTTTTTAAATTTTAAATTAAAATATCTTAATAACTACTAAATTAAATTTAAAAAATATATATATATATATTTTTTTTTTTTTTAAAGTGAGGTTTTGCCTTTATCTTTATTAATATTTTGTATTGAAAATCCACTATGAGTTTCTCTAACCAGAGCCAATTTACAAAAATTTTTACAAAAATGAGACTCAGACTACCAAAAACTATCTAAACTAGAAATTTTGATTCATCTGCAACCTAAATCTACTAGAGTGATTAAATGCACCTAGATTTGATAATATAAGATATTGTTAGTTGGAGTGTTATATTTAATCCATATAATAGTCTATAACGATATTTTTCTAATTGCTTTTCCAAGGGGTAGACAAATATTATCATTATATTGTTGATCTGATAAGCTGCAAAGGCAGCTATAAGTGTTTGGTATTCTAAGTTGTGTTGTGTTATAAATGTTTGTTATATAAGTAGTTATTATACTGCGATTGGGTTTTGAAGGTATGTGGTTTTGTTGCTTCCATTATAAAAGGTTTGTACAGTATGGTATCTATAACTAATCATATATATTTTGTGATAATTGTAAAAGTAGTTGGATAGTTATTTTTGTTGCAATTTGAGTAGAGTCTGTGTATTCTCTTATAGTTTGTATGAGAGATGTAGGAATAAACCCTTGTATTGTTGTATATAGGTTAATATTATTATACCGGTGATTGTGTGAAAAACTTGGATGATTTATAAGCCTAGTTTGTAATTCTTATAATTGGATATTAGTAATATCTAGTCTGGATTGTTGCAAAAATTGTTATATAGTGTTGGTATTTTTTTTAATTTTATAATTTTATAGAATTAAAATAAAAAAAAATTATTAAATTTGGTTTAATAATTGTTGAGATATTTTAATTTAAAGTTTAAAAAACTTTTACTTAGAAGAAATTCCCCTTTTCTATTGAAAAGCCCCCATATTCTGCACTATGAATTTCGTCTAAATCGTCTGAAATATCAAGTAGCTTTAATTTGTTCTGTCAAGTAAGATTTCAATAATTGTTGGGGATGAGGAGATCTCAATTTAGATCCATAAAACCCACTTATACTTGTTTATTATAAATTCTACCCATAAAGCTGGCCCTTAACCCTAAAAAAAAAGTCAAAAAAATGGATCTCAAAAATTTTTAAATTTTCATAATAAAATAAGTTAAATTTTCAACTTCAGCCAATTTTAGCTTCAGCCACCACAATTATGTTGGTTTTAGAACCTTATAAATACTTCATTGGCATATTAAAATATCATTTACTTTGTATTTTGGGTTAATTAATATGAGAAATTCATTGGTAAATTTATGCCGCCAAGGCAGCTCAAATCATTTAATAACTTCAGCAATACACACTTTATTTTCGGCCATGAGCGTTATTTCGAAATTTGACTCGAATTAAGCTTCACTTAGGCCCAAATTCGAAATTACACCTCTGCGCGTTATTCCGCGAAAATATGATACGCACAATCAGTCTCTTCATCTACAAGTTCACAATCACCATCACATTTGGCGCCGTTACCGTCACATTCACAATATAAGACATCTAAGACATCTGACCCATCTAAAAAATGCCACACAAAAATCCGGCTGTAACTTATGAAATGTCATCTGTAACAATAACATATCATAATATCAGTGCAACTGGTCAACAACACTAATGCAACAAACTTCAAATAAAATGGCGACTTTAGCACTCAGCAGAGTTTAAGTTCTCTATAGAATAAAAATTGGATCCTTCAAAAATGGCATACTTAGATTTCAAACCAATGATAATGTCCATAAGTGTATTGTCTAATAAATATATAACTACGTAAATTACATAAATTCATACAATTTCATTTAAAATTTTAATTTACTCTAATATGACGAATAGTACAGTAAAAGTGCGTATACAGGACTCGGGTCTGTCTACAAATTTTAAAACTCCAGGTTTTTATTTGGAAGGGGATCACAAATAAAAAACCTGCAAGTCATATTTATGCTTTTAGCAAGTTTAAATTATATATTGAATTCAGAGGCAAATTAGATTAAACACACCTATTATTAAGATAATAAGATATGGGACACGTAGTTTATTGCATTAAAAAAATATTAGTTTATCATTCTGATCAACAAACCTTTTTGCTCAAACCATCTCATCTTTTTATGGCACTGGCTTATTGAAACTTTATAAATGCTAGAGTAAATAGAGTTATTGGTTATAAAAAAACAACCAATTATGACCTCGGATTCAATTATAGGATAAAGGTAGAAAAGGATAAACATAAACATTCATTTATTATCAAAAATCTGCAGAGATGGGAAACGCTAATAGAACATATAATGCTGAAAATTTCTATTATAATTAATAGGGAAAAAACAATTCAAGTTTTTTTTCAATTTTGCATCATTTCGTTATCGTAGCAATTGAGTATCACAATTATTAGTAAACCACAGTCAAGTTCGCAAATCTCAGTAATATCTCTATTCATACTAATGATTATTTTCGATAACTAGAAATACATCTGGGGAGATTCTTACTTATAGCAGTATTAATAAATATACTGATAACACTGAAACCAAAAACTTAGCGAATTTATATGAACAACTGTGATATAACTAATAAACACCACAGATACATATAACATTCTAATTTCATCTTGTTTTTTTTTAATTTTTGCTACCTGAGATTTTAAATAATTGTAGGGGATGATGCTGAAATTTGCTGATTTTGGTCTCAATTTAAAATATAAACCCTGCTAAAATCATGCTAAAATCCACATATACTTTTAAATTATCAATCATAACCATAACTCCTAACCAAACACTAAAAAAAGGCGGGAAAAACACCCTCAAAATCTTTTAAAATTTTATATAATATGTCTAAATTTCAGTTCCTTCACATATATAGAATGATATCCAATAGGGTATCAATAGGCATCAATTATAATATTATTCTGATTGATGCCTATTAATACCCTATTGATCTTTTGCCAAAATCTGGGAAGTCTATTGGTACTCTATTGGATATCATTTTACATGTGTCAACTTCAACCACCAAAATAATTGTCTTCTATAATACACTCGAGTCTTTTATATTTTACCAAAATCTTTACCTGTATTATAGGCCCGGTCTGATTCATGGTTGGTTTACTAGTTAAAGAATTAAAAAGATTATACAATTGAAATTGTACAGATTGATAACTAATGGTACCCCATTGGCTCCAATCGGTAACTATTGGTTAAATAGTTTGCAATCAGTAAAACCACGATTGAAATTGTATCTGATTGGTAACTATTGGTGCCCTATTGATATCGATTAGTAGTATTGATTAAATAGTTTACAATCAGTAAGTATACATTATTGGGCAAAAATTTGTGAATAACGGTAATTTGGCAAATGAACACGTGCCGCTTTGCGGCATGTGCAGCCAATCATTTGCTAAATTACCGTATTCGCAAATTTGCCCAATAATGGTGTTATCCGGCAATTTATGATCATGATTGGTAGGGAGTGGTTGACTGGGTTTTAATTTGAATAAACACGATCACATCGTATCACATGAAAAAAATAACGTGCAGAAATTTATTTATGATCATAAGAGTTTGCCGGATAAAAATATTTAATACTCTATTGGTACCCTATTGGCATTTATTGAGTACTATTACTTGGATTGATACCGTATTGACCTTTTTGAGCCAAAATTTAGTGGTAATAGGATGTCCTATTGAAACTCATTTTACCTGTATAATATATAAAACTTAGCTAATTAATTTAAATTGTTTATAAAGACTTTTACTAAAATGTACCTATGATGTTTTATGCTATGCATACATTATCTCAAAAACTGGATAGTTAATTGATGTGAGATATTCTAAGTAGAAATGTTATACGCTCCCAAAACCCTTCCCTAATTCTATCCTTAAATACTAACATAAACGTGAAAAAATTGGTGTTAAAAATTTTATATACAAAACTTATAAAAACAAAATAATATAATTGGTGCAAAACCACCATAGGTGCGTTTTATAATAAATGGATTATAAATAAAGGGAACCATGGTTTTCACATGACTTTCAGCTACATAAACATGAGCATATTTTATCCGGAAAACTCTTATGATCATAAATTGCCATCTGTCTTGTTATTTTTTTCATGTGTTACGATGTAATCATGTTTATTCAAATTAAAACTCAGTCGATGACTCCCTACCAATCATGATCATAAATTGCCGGATAACACCAATATTGGGCAATTTGTCGAATACGATAATTTGGCAAACCGGGGCAAATTACCGTTATTCAACAAATTTTGCCCAATATTGTATACATCATGATAAATTACGGCCAATAGTAAAAATAGTAAATTTTCATGGGGAAATAGGCGTTCTCTAAATAAATTACCAAAATATATATTTATATACATCAGCTTAAATTATTTAATTGTTATATATTATATTTTTATAATATATATATTTGCTCACTTATTCCAAATTTGTAATTCAATTGGTTCCATTAGCACATTGACGTATACCAGTTTTTTGTTATAGTTATCAAATCAAATTTTACTGAAAATAGTCTGCGAAACTTCAAAATAACGCCTATGCGCGTCTCTAAGGCATATAAGCCCTACCAAAATCCACCTATACTCTTTTACTAATAACTCTAACCCTAAATCCTAACTTAACTATAAAAAAAACCGACAAAAAAGCCCCCAAAAAATTTTAAATATCGTACATAAAATAGATCAAATTTCACCATCCGATTTCACGATCATCCATGACATTTTTATTAACGCGCATATATTCAAAATAACGCGCAGATCGCGAAAATACGGTAATAAAAAAACTCCAACAATAATAATTAAAATAATAATAATTAGATATAGTTGAATAAAATTCACGAAATTTGGACTGTGAATAAAAAAATTAGGATTGTGAATTTTTAATGATCAGGAAACTAATATTGAATTTTATCAGTTACTTTAGTTTTAGACATAGAAAAATACTTATTAAATATTTGATTAATAAACACCAATATTGGTATCTCCAAATATAATCTTCACTTCGATTAATAATACGTGGCGCAACTTCATTTCAAATAATAACCTAAATTAGAATAATTTTGGTAATAATATTACGTATCCAAAAAAGTTTAATTAGGCAGTCCAACCTCGCCATGTGCTTGTCTTAACGTTATTGTAAAAGTTAGAATTTGGAACGGATTTATTTCCTATGATAAAATCCGGATCTGATTATGTAAAAATTAATATAATTTCAAATTTTACATAAGCGATCATTTATAGACGGCATGTATTTATAGTGTGATATTTTATAAGTTTCTACATGCTTAGAACTGAGCTAGAGAAAGCAATTAGAAAGATTTGATGTAATATGGACGTTTGGTATTAAAAAAATAAGAAATTCATCCATACAGTTTCCTCTTATACTGCGAAATGCGAAAATAACATTATTCGGAAACTAAACAATTTAATCCGGCTGATAAATACAACCATTCAATACATGTAATTACAAGGTGGCAAATTAGTCCGGAGGACTCTAGATTCCTATGCAAAGTAATAAAAATCTTTTTCCACCTATTCAATTGATGATCAAATAATCAAATAAAAACACATACTGCATATTACCGTTTGCCACTGCCTACATTACCAGGGTCTTATTCAAGAACTTCATTTTTAAAATTAAATAGTACCGTGGGTACTGTGTGAAGAATCGGGAACTATATTTGGGGGATATACCGTAGAGCACTGTATACATTACCAGGGTCTTATTCAAAAATCTCATTTTTAAAATTGAATAGTATTGGGTATTATTCACGAACCCAGCGATATTATTGGTGGAGAAGGGTACTTTACGTGGTAGGTATTATGTTCGGGGATACTTTATGCAGTGCTCTACGGTACCATATTAAAAGTAGTAAATCATGTAGTTGTACCCTGGGTCATATTCAAGAAACAAGTCAGTAGGGGTGATGAATAATACCCAGATCTTAATCATGAAGGTATTATTTTGGGGGATACTGTAGGCAGTGGCAAACGGTATATAAATTTTATATTTAGCACCCGAAAAAATGATATAAGTATTATATAACGATAGAAATACAAGTCTGAATCTTTCTATCATTACATAAAACTATACTAAAACTCATTCATAAAAGGATGATTCAATAAAAATGCTATATTATATGAACGCCGCTAAATGAAACTTGTTCTTATACATTTGATAGGTTTCATTCAATTTCTGATGGCGTTAAATAGTGATATTGGAAATTGAATCCTGTGGGTTTTCAATTAGCAGCACTTTTATTAACTTTCCATGCATGATGTGGTGAAAATTATCGTTATCCATGAAGTGCAGATTAGTGTAAATAGTTGACAAACTATATAAAGATAAGCGTGTACGTATATCGTATGTATATTGATATATATCCGTCAAAGATAAAAATGTCAACACTTAAAATTATTTCACATAGTTTTCCGGCCTCTTTAGAACGCGAATTGCTGGGAAAAGGTGGTCGCCTCCAAATTGCAGCGAATTCTTATGTGACAACAGACATCGATGCAACAAACAACAATGGTAAGATATCTCTTATATTTGCACATGCTGCTGGGTTCCATAAAGAACTATGGAATCCTATTATAAAAATATTACACGAACGGAGATATAAATGGAATGGTGGAGATATGTGGACTTTGGATTGTTCAAATCATGGAGACAGCGCTATGTTAAATCAGGACATTTTGCCAGATTCTTGTAAGTCCTAGTTTTATTTATCGTTATTTATTGCGTTATATGTACATTTAAATTTGATTAAATTATTAAATTTAGTTATTATTTCCGACTTTGCTCGAGATATCCTTCAACTTATAGATGAAGCGAAAATTCAAAATCCAATTATTGGCATAGGCCATTCGCTTGGTGGTATGTCCATGTAAGAGAATTTCTACTATATATAGTTGTCCGGCACATAATATATATGTTAATATTAAAAGCTACTAGACATGCTTGCTAACAAAATTTCACGCTTACGTGATGGTCGGAAAAGTTCTTTTAAGTTCGTTATGTTAGAGTTAGCGTTTATATTAAGGTTAGATTTTAATGGTATATAGTGGAATTACTTAAGGAAACCTTTTTGTTAGAATGACTATGTTACATTTAATGATGACTGACGAATTGACAAACTTTCGTCATTGACGAATGACGAAATATTTGACAAATAATGTATATGATTTTTCGCCATTTCTTTCATAATGTAAACAAATTAATCCACGTGAAGTTAATTTTTTGTTTGCTTTATCCTCAGCGTCTAAAAAATTTGAATGCGCGGATCCAATCAAATTGCTTTATTTCAGAAATCAAACAATTTGATTGGACCCGCACATTCAAATTTTAGACCCACTATCTTCATAAGCATGCCACGATTGAAATGCCATTGCCACGGTTTCGGAGACACTATCTTTGTTCAGTTATCTTTAACATTCTTGTTAACATACAGTTGGTTTTAAAAATAATAACTATAGGTTATTGGCAGAAATCATTCGTCCTGGTACTTTTATGGGTATTTTTACTATTGAGCCTTTAATTATGCCTAATAATGCTCTAAATCTTGGAGCCCAAGAGATGGAAGTTAAAAGAAGACATGACAGATGGCAAAATAGGTAGGAAGGCTTATTAGTATTTTTATGATATTATAAATACGTGACTAATAAAAATTTTTATTTAGGGAAACAGCTCGTACTAATTTTAGAAGAAAAAGGTTTTTTCAAAGTTGGGACACTGAAATACTCGACCTCTATGTTGTAAGTAATCATTACTCGATTTTTAAAAGGGTGCCTCATATTTATGTCCGTAGTAGACATATTCACGTTATACCAGATATTTTAACCTGATTGGTCAGTAAATGTACCTTCAAAAGTTTGAACTAATGATTTATAAATAATGTCGACATAGAAATTTGGACTACGTGAATTGCCATCCGGAGAAGTTACATTAAAATGTCCTAAAATTCAGGAATTTGTAAGGTTTTTTTTTTTTTTTTTTTTTTTTTTTTTTTTTTTTAGCATAACTCAAGATTTGTCACCAAATGTTATTTTGTGACATTTAGTACACATTTTTTCACGATATGCAAGCAAGATATACTATATTCCATCTAATATCGGAACTTCAATGTCCGGTTCTATTTGTTGTTTGTGATAAATCGACTTACGAGTAAGTATTATCTTAGTTCTACCTCCTGATTATGGTATAAAAATCTTCACTAAATACGGGTTTCTTTTCATAGTTTTAAAGATTTGGCTTTTCTTAAAGTATCACAATGTCAACGTAGTGAGTTAATAACTATAGACGCTAGTCATATGGTTAGTTAAGTTATTATAAAATATCTTAAAGCGTCAATAATTTTTAATTATAATAAATTTTATTCAAAACTTTATGTAGGTGCCGATGGAAAAACCTGCGGAAATTGGTAAGTCATTTCAAATCTTAATATTTTTATTGCATATTATCAACTTCCTACTTATACTCACTATTGTATTCATAGCACGTTTTATTGAATATTTTGCGCGTAAACTTTCAAAAAATAATGGTTTTTTTGCTGTGTTGTAGTAAGAAGAGTATTTAAATTACATGCTATAAGCATGTGTATTTTACTTGATTTATGGACGCTTGAGATTTTTTAGTTCATTGGAAGTCGGTTAGTGCACAGCTCTTTGATTGCAATTTTAATACAAGACCTTTAAATCAGTGTTGGCAATTTTATCGGTCAAAAAACGACCAATTCGGCCAAGTTTATGTCTTTTTGGCCGGCCAATGACCGAAACGGCCAAAGAAATTCAATTGGATAAGTGCTTATTCGAATAACGAAACAATGAAAATTTTCATCGAATTACCAACTTCCTTACCAACTTCTTTTTTAATTGGAAAGAGTTTAATAGAAAAATCTTTCTAGTAATTTATGATTGGTTAAGATTTGGATGATCTGCAAAGTTTAACAAATAATTCACAATAATTTAAAATTTTTTTTTTACAATGCATTAACCTGGTTTATATTTTCTGTATCACTTTTGACACGGATGTTCATTATTATATAGGTGCGAAATATTATTATATTTTTCCATATTTATTATATATAATAAACGTCACCAAGCAAATAAAGAGAAAAATATCTTTAGTTATTTTGATTTATTGTTTTATTTATTGTATCATCAATTATTGATCCATTTCCTTTAATACATCAATGATACTCGAATTCTGACATTATAACATCCTTTATACATACATAATTTACGACTAGAATTAATTTACGAGTGCATGTAGCATTGTTGACTTCGAAAGCAGTGACACGGCAAAATAAATTTGCCCAAGTAAATCCAAATATCTAGGTATTTTTCAAATATATCAAAATATATGAGAATTTTTCATATAAATCCAAATTTCTGACCATTTATAAGATTCTTAAATTTCATTGGTTAACATTGGATACTACATTCATCTGATTGGCTAATTTATGAAGATAAAAATGTGATCATTAACTAAACAAATCTGTCAAATATTTAATTGACGAATCGCCAATAGGGTGCGGAACGGGCCGGGCTTTACTGAGTCCGAAACAAAACCTGAAAAATTTTTTTGAGACCGAGCCCGGCCCGAAAAAAATAAAAACCCGGTGTTGTGGGCCCGGGCCGGGCCTATTTAAAATCAGGCCCGGCCCGGCCCGATCTGTTCACCTGCTATTACAGCTGTTTACATAATTTCTGAAACACCTGATAAAAAATCTGCCGAATGATTTTTTGGCCGATTCGGTTAAGTTTGTAATTTCGGCATAATAACATTGATCCAATAAAATTACAAAATTGTATGTATGGTATGTAATACGGCTACGTACGTACGTACGTACGTACCATCTTTTTTGAGTGTCGTTGGGGTTGTTAGGCATATGTATATAGTTTATCGGGCCTACTCGGGCTTTTTCAACAAGCCCGAGCCCGACCTGGTATTTTTCAAGCCCAGCTTGAGCCCGGCCCGAATAATAAACGGGCTCAAAAATATAAGCCCGAACTAGGTCCGAGCCCAGCCCGGCCCGCAAATTTCTGGGCTTAGCCCGGCCCGTTCCGCACCCTAATCGCCAATAAAGGACAGAAAGATCTTAGTATAACTTGACGGAAACCCTATATGTTTGTTACTATAGGCAGGAATGCCGAGTGCTTACATATAAACCATTTTTCGAGCTCTAAGTAAAGTTGTAGAGCTCATCAAGACGAATCTAACTGCGATTGGATCATCCAAACCGACTCAAAACTAAAAATCTATGTAAACAATCTATTGTTTACATAGATATTTTACATAGTCGGTGAATTGTTTTTTTAGCGATATCTTGGCGTTGATTTGGATGATCTAATCGCAGTTAGATTCGTCTTAATGAGCTCTACAACTTAGAGCTCGCAAAATGGTTAGCTTGTAGAAAAAAGGTTTATATGTAAGCACTCGGCATTCCTGCCTATAGTAACAAACATATAGGGTTTCCGTCACGTTACACTAAGATCTTTCTGTCCTTTATTGGCGATTCGTCAATTAATCTATATCAGATACATTTATTTACAGCCATCATACATAATTAACACAATATTATTATACATATCATCAACCTATCATTTAAAGACATCGAAGATCACTAAGGATCCTGCTACAAGCTCAATTTGTGAAAAAATTTTATAACTTTGTAATGTTAAATAAGATCAACAAAGTTATAAAATTTTTTTCATTAATTTTGGCTTGTTTGATAAGGAGTAGCAATTTATGGGAAGGAAACAATAAAACATTCGAACATTTCATCATGAAATAATCAACAAGATATTATTAGTGTATTGGGGGCACCCGCTTGACGCCTCCCTGAGAAACCAGTCAAGCACCGTCAGCAGGTTACGAACTAAGAGTCGCCGATTGGCAATAGTCACGCTGTAACCATTAATCTATATCAGAATAATTACTGACTATGGATACGTATTAAATAGGGTTCTGCAAACCCGGCACATGCCTGTACAAAAAAAAAAATGTTTAAGGCACGGGCCTAAAATTTGGAGCGCAGGCACGATATAAGTAAACACTTATATAGGCATCTGTGTAGAGGTTGGAACCGGTTTTAATAATTCGAGTTTATCACGTGAATTTTGTGATATTTTAGAATTTAGTCCAATTAAATTTTAATAAATTCTAAAATATCACAAAATTTACGTGATAAACCCGAATTATTAAAACCGGTTCCAACCTCTACATCTGCGCTAGCATTGCCACCGGCATTAGTGCCCAGCATATTGTGCAGGCATAAAATTAACAGTTAACGATTGGTCATATGTGCAACAAATGATAGTTACGTATAGTTATAGGAATCGACTGAAATTTTTTAGTCAACTAATCAGTTGACTAATCTTATGACTAGTCGACTAGTCGTATAATATATTTAAATAGTGATGGAAATCTATTGAGTCAACCAATCCCAATCTGAATGTTGGTTAACTATTGGTATAAATGTCTTCTATGGACATGATTTTCGGAATATTTAGAAATTCCTCAACCGAGACCGCAATTTATGTTAGTTTATAATCTATCTTGGATAATTTCGAATGATCATTATTATTACTTTTAGTTGATTTTTAATCGACTAATAAAATTTAGTGATTAGTTGATTTTAGTCGACTTAGTCGACTAACATTTAGTCGATTCCTATCACTAGTTACTAGCGTTGCAAACTTAATTAAATTTAAACGCTAAAATAATTTACTTTACAAAAATATTATTGTCTAGTAATTACAAAAATTGCAAAATATCGTAATTAAATTTGGAATTATAAAAGCAAAATTTTATTACAGTAATTTAATAATAATTTTTTCATCGATATAATATATACTGTTTGATATAATCCTTTTATTGTACACACACATACTGTGCGTACGTACATACATACGTACGTACGTACGTACGTATGTTACACGATACTATCGGTCTTTAAATAATACAAAAATTATTAATTATACAAAAATATAATTAATTTCGATTTTTAGCATTTATAATAACCAAATTAATTTAATTAAGTTTGCAACTCTACTAGTTACGTAATTAAAATCATGTGAGCCAGTTCAATTACCTACAAATCGAACCTCTAGTACAGTCGATACTGTCTAAATGCATAATTTTTTCAAAAAATTTAAATTCTTACTATAAAATTGATACATATATTAGGTAATATCTTATTTATGCTAACGCTAAGAACGAATTAAATTTAATCAACCATTTTAGCAAAATCGTACGATATATTTGATACCAAATTTAGTTACAAATCGTGAGAAATTATTTGGCATTCGCGTTATGGTGTATATCAAGTAACAACTTTATTTATTAAAAATAGCTAAGAACGAATTAAAATCGGTCGATTATTTTTAGTTAAATACGGGTTTTTAGTAACATAAGACAATACTGTGATAAAGTAATTACGAATAAGTGAAGATAACACCTCTGCTATGTTATATGAATGCAACCTTAAATATATAATAACAATTATTATAAAACGCACCTATGGTGGTTTTACACCTATTATATGTTTTTATTATATTTTTTAAAATTTTCTAAGTTTTTATAAGTTTTGTGTATAAATTTTTAACACCAACTTC